GTTTCCTTGTCTCTCTCCTGCAGAAGTCTCAGGCACCTGGGGAGGCTTCTTCATCTCCTCATCCCCACGCTTGGCCTCGAACAGACTGATGGATGTACTCATTAATTGTACAGACGAGGAGACCGGGGCCCAGAGACATGAGACCAATGGCCGCAAGCCCTTGCAAGTGAGAGCTGGAAGGAGAAGCCAGGCCTTTGGGCTCTTGGGGTACTCCGATGCTTGTCCCATCAAGGGGACCTTGCCACCCAAGTCCAGGCCAGGCTTTGGCACAACCAGGTGGCAGGCCTCCCAGCAGGAGCTCACTGAGAAGGGCCCAGCCTGGCCCTGGCACCACCATGCACATGAAGAGGCAGTGGCATTTCCCAGGGAGTCGGAGGACAACGCTCACATCTGGCCTCCCTGCTGCCACTCGTGTCCCCACCTCGAGCACACACTCATGTCCCCACTCCTGCACACAGCCACAGAGTAACCTAGGAAAGCAGAAGCCAAATCGTTCCCTGTTGCTGCAGGAAATGTCTCTGGCCTGCCTCATTTAGAATGAGAGCCCAGGCCCTCCGGATGTCTTCCAAGGCTCTGCGCACTCTTGGGTCCAACTTTGCCCCCGCTGTTCTCTGCCCAGCCCATTCTGTTCCAGCTGCGTGGGCCCAGCTGGTATCCACAGACACCACAGTCGTCCTGCCCTTCCCTTAGATATCCCAGTTTTCAGATCCTGCTCAAATACCCTCCTGGGACAGGCCTATCCTGACACCTTCTCCAAAGACATCCCATCATCCCCATTCCTTGCCTGTCGGCTTCCTTCACAGACCTTCTTCACCTGACATAATACGTACTTATCTCTTCATTTGGTCATCCCCACTGGACTGAAGGCTCCGTAGAAGGAGGCATTTTGGCCCAGCCATGACAGCTCAGGTGATGAGATGTCAGCACGATGCTGAAGCCATAGGGAAGCCTGGGGTTCAGATCCCAGGTTGACCTGCACATGGCCCTGTGGGCGTGCCTGTCATCCTGGCTGAGTGGAAGTCTGGGGGGAGGATTAGGAGGTGGCAGTATCCTGTCAGGAGTCCTCTCTCTCTCAAGAAATAGATATATCAACTTTTTTTTTTCTGGAGAGGTTTTTGCTATAAGGCGGTGCGCTCTCCAGAAAGAGAGAGACAGAGAGACAAAAAGCAAGAAATCACCCCCCCGGGGATATATGTGCCTGGTGTGAGTTTAAGCCACCGGGTCCAGGACTCAAACCGCGGTCAACTACATGGGAGTCCAGCAACATAGCCATTACGCCAACTGCTGGTCCCTAAATCAGCTTTTTTCAGAGCAGCCGTCTGGACTGTTCACTGAGGTGCCTCACATCAGCAATTGTACCTACCATACAGTGTGAGCTGAGTAAAAGCTAAATTTAAATCGCTATAAAGCTACAAAGAAATGAATTTCTGCTCGTGGAAGTTCAGGTAGCAAGTGCATTGCAGATGGGCATGGTATGATATTGGGTGTTTAGGGGGTGCTAGAAACCATCGTGGATTGAGGGGCCTTCCTGATGGCTGGCCCCTCCCTAGGAAAAGCATGCGAAGTGCAGCCGCGGCTGTGTGGTCGGACAGTCTGCCCTCCAGGGCCAGGTTCACAGAGGCACACGCAGGCGGTGTGTCCCACCCCAACCGCCAGCAGTCTCTCCTGACTTCCGAGCCCCACCCCCAAGTGTTTCTGGCCCAGCCAAATGGAAAATTTAATTCCCAACTAATGAGCCCTGAATTTGGTGTCCCTCGTCAAGTTACGGGGCTGCCCCTCTCCCGGGAGAGGGGGGCTCCCCACCCACATGTGGCCAACACTTGACACTGCCTCTGTGGGGAGGGACACAAAGGGCCCTGTCTTGCCATTGTCTCTGCCCGAGTTCACGGGCAGGCGAGGACAAAAGCCTCATGAATTCTTCATGACCTCTGAGAGGGGGCTCGGAGCCCTCTCCTATTTTGGCCATGGGTCAGCCCTTGAATAAGGAAGAAAGACACTGTCTTCTTGACAGCAAGTCTCCCTCTGCAGTCTGAACGGGGCTCCCCGGATCTCCCTCCTCAGCCTCCTACCCGAGGAGATGCCAACCAGTTTAGCTGAAACCATAATCCACCCGCCCCCGCCCTTCCAGGTCAGGGCAAGGGCGCCACTTCCCCCACCCCATCCTGAGCTTCTGCCTTTGGGCCTTTCCTTCCACACCGGGGTCCCAGCTGCCAAGCAAACCTTGGTGGGGGAGGCAACAGGTGAGACCCTGTTTCTCAGTAGGGACTGTCCCGTCCCTGCTCCAGAGGGTTCTCCAGGGAGAGCCCTGTCTCTTTTGCCATGGGAAGGCCTGGGTATCCGAGTGCCCTCACAGTGTCCTCCCAGGAGCCCCTAGACAGGGCCCTGGCTATGCCATGGCGCCCTCTCCTGGTGGACCCCATGCAGTGCGAGGATGCCTTGCTCTCATCCAGTCTTGTCTCCCTGAATGGCCAAACACTGTCCCCTGCCTTCAAGTCCCTGCCTTCCCCAAGAAGTCCACCGAGGAAGAGCCAGCTGCAGTCCTCTGACCAAGCCCCTTCTCCAGAGATAAGTGCAGGGGCGGGGAGGAGAGACCACGAAGCTAGGGAGAGGCTGGGATTTGAGTTAATGAGCTATGTATTTTGCTCTCCCTATAACCCATGGTATTTGACGCAGCAGCCAATTTAGCCGTGGGATAATTTGTCATGGGGTTGTTAGGATGCAGAGGTGGGGTGGGATGAGAACGGGTGGGTGAGGTAGGGCCAGACTGGGCCAGGGTGGGAGGAGAGTGGGCCCAGGGCTCCACAGGGGCAGAGCAAGAGAGGACTGGGGAGGGCAGGAGGGGACGACAGCAGCAAACCAGAGCCCAGAACAGAAAGGGCCTCCCTCTCCTCTGAGGGCAGAGTGGGTCGGTAACTCTCAGAACCGGGAGGCAGGGCTTCCTACAGATGACTGGCTCTGTACGACCCAGGGATCCATGGGCCAGCCAGAGAGCACCCCGATCTTCTAGCATCCCAGAATGTAATGCAACCAGACAGGCCGGCCTCGTTTCTGCGTAATTGCTGTGTGCTTCCCTGTAGTCAAAAATCAAAGGACGTCAGAGCTGGGCAGCTCATTTCATAGAGAGTGGACGGCCGCACTCACTGCTTTGCCTGGATAGCTGCCCCAGTTTCTGCCCGTCTTCCCAGAGTAACTGCCAATAATGCTCTCGCCCCACGAGCTTCCCTGGTGTGGACAATAAGCATGGTCTCCCATGGAAGAGAAGCAGGCTGAGGTGCATCGCTGCCCGCAGCTGGTCCACGGCCCCTGCTCGGGTCTCCTGATGCCCTCTGCTCATCCTGCTAAGCACCAAGGCCACAGCACTGAGCCCAACCTTGGAGTCAGACCTCAGCCCTGTCCTCACACTCGTCCCCGACTTTGTCTGGCCCTACCTTATCGACCCTTCCGCATCTCACCCCACCTCTGATCAGACCCTGTCCACTAGGACATCCTCCTCCAGGAAGCCTTCCCTGACTAGGGCAGCCTGCAAGGGCTCGCCCACAGTTGACCCCTGTGATACATGCCAGCCCAGTCTTGCACATGGACTAATCATGTTTATCCTCCACAACATGCTAGACCAGGGAGGATCATGTGCAGGAGTGTGGAAGAGAACAGGAGGGTCACAGGGTCAGATGGCCAGGGTGTGGATCAGGCCTTGCCATTGTCCCCTGGATGCCTGAAACCCCACAGTGGCCCAAAGGCCCAGCAGGAGGACAGGGAGCCACACCTCCAATGGCACTGGGATTAAAACGTTGACTTGGCCATCTGCAGCCCCAGGTCCTGGGCAGGTCCGCGGGCTACTCCTCTGCTGGGCGCTGCCTTGTCCCCATCCTAGCGCTGAGGCCTACGGTCTCACTCACAGGCCCCCTGCTGTCCCATCAGCCTATTCTTCTGACTGCCAGGCTTCCTGGGAAGCAGCACAGGCAACAGCCAGGGCGAGAGAATCTCTCTCTTCCCCTTCTTCTCTCAGGTGTGGAGGTCCCCTCCTGGCCAACCTAGACTTACGAATAGACCACACTCCACTCTCAACTCCTGGAGCTGCCAAGGCCTGCTGTTGCCTGCCGCCCACGCTGTCCACAGGCCTGCACTGTCCTCTCGCTGGAATGTAGCACCACCTAGTGGCAGGCCGTGGCCTGGCAGTGCCACCGACGACATCCAGATGCAGCAAGTCTTCATCTTGAACTTCAAGCATAGACAGACAGGGCGTTCTGCCAGGCCATCAGGAGTAGCAGATCACAAAGACTGACAGACACAAACCCCAAGACCTGCTCCCTACACCTGAAAGCACTTGCCGGCCATAGTGAGAGCCCAGCACGTGGAGCAGAAGCCAGTTGCACAATGCTTGGGCTTGCGCTTACTGGATACATTGGTCCGCCCTGTAAGCCCCAGACCCCTCTGCTGCAACACGAGAGTCATAAAAATACCTCTCTCAGGGACTAGCAGTTAGTGTAATGGCTATGTCGCTAGACTCCCATGTAGTCGACCACAGTTTGAGTCCCGGACCCGGCGGCTTAAACCTCACACCGGGCACGTGTGCGTGCATGCCCAAGATCCCAAGAGGAGACTGGAAGGAGGAGAAGGGATTGTGGCGTGATCATCCCTCCTGGGGGGGTGATTTCTCGCTTTCTGTCTGTCTCTCTCTGTCTGGCTGGTGAGGGTACCCGCCCTGTAGCAAAAATCTCTCCAAAAAAATAAATAAATAAAAATTAAATAAATAAATAAAAATAGCTCTCTCAAAGGAATGATGTGAAGATGAACTGTACTGAAGTATTAAGATACACTTAGCACTTGGCAAACAAGAGATTTTTTAAATGGATATTATTATTGAAATGATCAAATTATTAACTCAGCCTAAGTGTTATGAGAATACAAGATGAACCCACTGCCAATGGGAATTATGACGAGTGGAATGGGGGAGTAAGAACGGGCGTGGCTTTTCGCAAAATGCAGGCTCTGACATCACAAGCGCCTGCAGCCTCCGCTGTGAATGGAGGTAAAATGAAGAATTAACAAATAGGGACTTGCCCCAGGTAGAATACATCCCCCCAAATCCTTGTGTTCAGCCCATTGAAATGGGACCAAGAGGTGAAAGCTTAACCTGATTATGGTGAGGAAAGGTGGGGTCTTTGGGCAGGGATCAATCTCGTGGTCTTACGTGAAGAGAACCGGGCCAGAACAGTAGAGGAACTCAGGGGCGCAGACCCGCCCTGCTCGGCCGGAAGTCTGCCTCCCATTCTGCAATGCCTTTGGATTTGCTAGCCCCCAGAACTGTGAGTCTTTCAATCTCTACTTTTATCATTCGCCCCACCTGGGGTATTTCTGTCAACAACCCAGCAATGGACTAAGACAGGACCTTAGCCAGAAAATCCACGGCGTTCCGCTTTTCCGTGAGAAACATGTCCTGAGCACCTGCCCTGTGCCAGGCTTTCGGGATTCGGAGAGGAACGAGTTTAGTTGCTGATCTCAAAATCACGACCCGGCTCGCATCACAGAGGGCAGAGGCAATGGGCTTCTGATCCCACACCCCAGCCCCCCGCTGCAAAGCCAGAAGGGAGGCAGAGGGCTGTGTGTCAGTGCTGCGTCCTCAGCCGGCAGAAGCTGCAGGATCCACAGCTCAGAACGGGCCCCATGTTAGGGGAATTGAATGGCAGATCATGACCCAGGGTCACGGGCCCAGTTCCGTCCCTCTAAGCTGCTCCTCTGCAAGCCTCCCCAGCCCTGCTCCTCCGGAGCCTGGAGTATCTGGAAGGCAAGGTTCACGTGAACAGGAGCCCAGCCCTCTGTGCAGTGGGGCCAGCAATGTCCAGTCCCTGCAGTGTGTTCAGAAATGTTTGCTGAGTGAATGAATGGGCCAATTTAAGTTTTAGGAGAGTAATCCACTTCAGGACCCTTCCTGTTATACCTGCAACAACACACATGAGATCATTCGTTTGTTTTTAATTGTTTGCAAAGAGCACATGCACTCACCAGAGAGAGACAGAGAAAGAGGGAAAGTGAGAAAGCACTCCCTACATGGAATGTTCGTAATTAGGGAGGCTGTAACCCCTTCTCCTCCATTTCTCCCGGGCGTGTGCGCACATGCATTCAGCATGTTTTTCAAGCTGCCAGGTTCTGGGACTTAACCACAAACTAGACTAGACCACGTGGGATCCAGCTACCTTAACCACCAGGTCACAGTGGACCCCTCAGGAGGTCTTTCAAAACCACCAGCCCTCACTGTCTCCGTCTAGAAAGTGGAGTATCGTCAGGGCATGCACCTTGTCGTCAACCCTCGACTGCATGCTTCGATTCCAACCATGCGATCTGTGGCTTTGGTGTCTCCCAAATTAGAGGAGAAGTTCCTTGATGGGAGGAACTCTCCTATTTGCTGAATTCAGTTTATGGATTTACCACCAGGGCTGTACCATTTTGGGACTTCATCCTAAACTTATTTTTGAGGCCTTCAGACACGAAAAGCTTGTGTCAGAAAGCGATACAAAGTGGATGATTCTTTGAGGTAGGATCCTTTCCCCTGACTTCTTGACATCCTCAGAAAATCATGGACCACACCGGACTGTGAGCGAGGTGGAGACACCAATGATAAGCAGAACCTGGCCGTCCAAAGTAAAATCCTGGATATATGTGCAAGGTGCCTTGTTCAGGACCTCAACAGTGCGATACAAGGAGGCAGAGAACACATCGAGCGTAACTCATGGGGAAAAGGGAGTGTGGTTTTATTGTCCAAGATAATAAAGACAAGGTTTATTTATTTCTTTATTCATTTATTTTAATTTGACCAGAAAGAGACACACAGAGAGAGAAAGGGAAAATGAGAAAGTAAGCCACCAGGTCCGGGACTCGAACCGTGGTTGGCCATGTGGGAGTGTCCAGCCCCTTAACCATCACACCACCTGATGGTCCCCAGATTTTAAATTTCAGGAATCTACCAGAAGAATGTATAAAAATTTTTAAGTGAAAATTCTAAAGCTGAAAGATAAAATAAGCCAAATTAGGAATTTAATGAATGGGTTTAACAACTGATTAGATGAGGATGAAAGAAAGAATTAGGGGACCAGCAGTTGGCATAATGGCTATGTCGCTGGACTCCCATGTAGTTGACCGCAGTTCAAGTCCTGGACCGGTGGCTTAAACTTATGCCGGGCACGTGTGCATGCGTGCCCAAGACCTTGAGAAGAAAATGGAGGAGAAAGGATTGCAGCGTGGCTATCGCCACTGGGGGGGAGGGGGGTGATTTCTCCCTTTCTGTCTCTGTCTCTCTCTGTCTTTTGGGTGAGTGTACGCACCCTATAGCAAAACCCCTCCAAAAAAAAGAAAGAATTCGTTAAAGAAACAAAAGTCAGCGAGCTGGCAGGTGGCATAGTGGTTAAGGTGCTGGACTCCCACATGGCCAACCACAGTTAGACCTGGACCTGCTTTCTCACTTTTCTCCTCCCTCTCTTTTTTAATAGTTACTGAATCTTAAATACACACAGTGTGTCCTGTAGCAATTTTTTAAAAGTAATAATAATGAGGGACCAACAAATGGCACAATGGTTACATCGCTGGACTCCCACATAGTCAGCCATGGCTAGAGTCCTGGACTCAGCAGCTTAAACTCACACTAGGCATGTGAGCATGTATGCCCAAGATCCTAAAAAGAGAATGGAGGAGAAGGGATTGTGGCATGGCTATTTCCCCTTGGTTGAGGGGGGCGGGTGGGAACGACAATTTCTCACTTTCTGTCTCTCTGTCTTTCCAGTGAGTGGACATGCCCTATAGCAAATATCTCTTAAATAAATAAATAAATAAATAAATAAAAGTTAAATAAATACTTTTTAAGTAAAAAAAAAAAAAAAAAAGAATCATGGAGAGACAAAGGGATGAAAACACATAAGGATATAAGAGAAATCAGGAATAAAGTCACCCAGCAAGTGAATTGGTATAAACTACACTGGCGAAAGCAAAGTTGGCTTAACATTCAAAAATCAATCATTGTAATTCGCTATGTTACCAAATTAAAAAAGAGGGACCAGCAGTTAGCATAATGGCTATGTCGCTGGACTCCCACGTAGTCGACCGCGGTTCGCGTCCCGGACCCGGAGGCTTAAAACTCACGCTGGGCGCGTGTGTGTGCGTGCCCAAGATCCCGAGAGGAGAATGGAGGAGAAGGGATTTTGGAGTTCATGTTGATCTGCAAAGACACGCTTCTAAGTGCCTGTCACTAGCCTGATAAACTCGTCATTTAAGAATTTATATACTCTTTAGTTTTAGTTTTTGTTTTTTTAAGAGAGATTTTTGCTCTGGGCTGTGTACCCTCACCAGAGGGACAGAGAGAGACAGAAAGCAAGAAGTCACCCCCCAGGGCAGATGGCCATGCCACAATCCCTTCTCCTCCATTCTCCTCTTGGGATTTTGAGCATGCATGTACATATGCCTGGTGTTAGTTTCATTGTGGTGTAGTGGTTAAGGCTTTGAATCCCACATGAATGACTCCATGGTTCGAATTCTGGACCCAGGAGACTGAAAAATACTTTGGTCATATGTGTGTGCAAGCCCAAAATCCCAAGAGAAGAATGGAGGAGAAAGGATTCTAGTGTAGCCATCCTCCCTAGAAAGGGCGATTTCTCACTTTCCTTCTCTCTCTGTCTCTCTCCAAACACATAAGGATATAAGAGAAATCAGGAATAAAGTCACCCAGCAAGTGAATTGGTATAAACTACACTGGCGAAAGCAAAGTTGGCTTAACATTCAAAAATCAATCATTGTAATTCGCTATGTTACCAAATTAAAAAAGAGGGACCAGCAGTTAGCATAATGGCTATGTCGCTGGACTCCCACGTAGTCGACCGCGGTTCGCGTCCCGGACCCGGAGGCTTAAAACTCACGCTGGGCGCGTGTGTGTGTGTGCCCAAGATCCCGAGAGGAGAATGGAGGAGAAGGGATTGTGCTATGGCCATCCTCCCTAGAAAGGGCGATTTCTCACTTTCCTTCTCTCTCTGTCTCTCTCCAGTGAATGCACATGCCTTATGGCAAAAGTATAAAAATAATAATAATAAAAAACAATATATGAAGCACTTTCTTAAGCTTGATCCACAGTTGATGCATATTCATTTTATTTTTATTCTTTATATCTTTCAAATGTGCACTGTGTAATAATCTTTTAAATGTATTTAAAATTCAGTAACTATTTAAAAAATTTATTGAAACCCTGACAGTTTACTGTTTTCTTATCTCAGAGAAAAAGAACAATGAATGGAACCACAAGAAGAGACGTTGTCCTCCATGGGATCGCCATGAACTTCACAGACGCCAACTGAGTGTGTCTTACAAAGTCAAGTCCCCACTGGTTCAGCTCAACAAAGACACAGAACCACTGATCCTCTATAGCCCGAAGGCCCATTCTGGGAGGTAAGACAAAGAGATCCTTGTTCTCTCCAGTGAACTTAGCAGATGTCTCCCCACCTCCCACCCTCCGGAATCTCAGAATTCTTGGCCAGGTAAGAAACTCCCCAGCAATTCTGTCTCTGACCAGGATACTCTGTAATGGCAGCTCTTTCTTACTGAACACATTTTTTGGAAGCATCTTTCATGTGCCAGACTGTGGGCTAACTCCCTAGATAACTGAAGTGAAATGTGACAAACAGGACTCCACCCTCAGAGCCTACGAGGGCTAAAGACAAGCAAATGGGCAAATGCAATAGACAGTGTCAAATGCAATGAGCATGTGACTCTGTCCACAGGGGAAGAGGAAGGGAGGCTCCCAAACTCGGAGTGGCCTTTAGAGACATGGGCCAGAGGAAGCAGCCTCTGAGATGAGAAGGCACATGGATGCCATCTTCTCGCTTTACTCTCTTACAGCCAGTAACATCTCATAGATCTGTCACCCAGTGACAAACCTTTTGTTTCTTTTTTTAAAGAATCATTTATTGAGACCAGCAGTAGGCATAATGGCTATGTCGCTGGACTCTCACGAAGTCAACCGTGGTTCGAGGTCCTGACCCAAAGGCTGAAACTCACACCGAGCGCATGTGCGTGTGTGCCCAAGATCCAGAGGGGAGAATGGAGGAGAAGGGATTGTGGCATGGCCATCCCCCCCCCCGGGGGGGGGGCGATTTCTCGCTTTCTGTCCCTCTGTCTCTCTCTGTCTTTCTGGCAAGCGCACACACCCTATAGCAAAACCTCTCCCCCAAAATTATTTATTTAATATTATTATTATTATTATTTTGCATTTGCTATAGGGCACTTTCACTCACCAGTGGGAGACAGAGAGAGGGAAAGTGAGAAAGTAAGTGATGATAGTGGCGATGGTGGTGGCGTGGGGACACCGGTTCCAAATCTGCCTCACACACATTATGTGACCTCTCTGGGCCTTGGTGTTCCCATCTGTAAGCTGACCACAAACAGATCCTGCCTCTCAGGATGGATGGTGACGAAGCTGATTTAAGGGAAGCCTTCTGAGATACACAAAGCTTTCCCTTTACTCTCAAGTCTGGCCAGGTTCCTCAGCTCTTCTATTAAGCCGAGAACTCCTCCCTACTCACCCAAGACAACTTTTACCACCCAGTCCAGACCTGGGCTTACATAGCTCCCAACTCTGGACTGCCACACAGCTTGAGGGGCCTGAGGGGGATCAGAGAAGCCTAATGCAGAGTGCGTGGCAAGATGGTCTTTCCATCCTGACCTGGATCGCAGCTATTCTCACTCCCTTGAGAGAGGGCACCTGCACCTATATTCCAGAACCTCCTTCCAGACACTTTCCTAGGGTTTGTTGGGACAGGAAGTCTGCTCAGGGCTTTTCCTATTGCCCAAAGGATGCTATGCATGACAGCACCACCAGGTGGCCCCAAGGAATCAATCACCGCCTAGGTCTACTCCTGTGGCTCTAGACAACATACTACCTCAAAAGCGCAGAAACCTAAAGCACAAAGGACCTCAGTAGAGATAGTCTAGGCCCCGTCCACAGCCATTGGAGATCGCAGGCCCTCTGATTCGTGAAAACGACAGACCCTCTCCCCAGAAAAATGCCCCTGCACATACATTCAGTACTGTGTACTGCGTCAAGGCACCCTCGATGGTCTCCCCAGACATATCCATGGATATCTTATAACTAGGTTTTCTTATAACTCAGCCCAGGAAGGTCGCCTTTACTACCTAGGGTATCTTATAACTCAGCCCAGGAAGGTCGCCTTTATGTCTGCCACCCCCTCACCATCTGCATATCCAATGAGGCCTAGCAATACCACTCCCTATGGTCAGAACACGCCTGTACTTAACCTGTGGGGCCCGAGAAAAAAGCAAAGATTAGCTTATTTAATAGTGGGGCTTATCATAGTGAGGATCTACAGTAGTGGGGTGGGACTTTGTGATTTGGGGAATTGTAAACTGATCAGTTGTCTGGGAGCCCTAAACCTGGAATTTCTTTCTTTCTTTCTTAAGAGGTTTTTACCGTAGGGCCCATGTGCTTGCCAGAGAGAGAGAGACAGAGACAGTGAGAGGGAAAGTGAGAAATCACCCCCTGGGAAGGATGGTCACCCTACAATCCCTTCTCTTCCATTTTCCTGGGATCTTGAGCACACACGCACACATGCCCAGCGTAATTTTTCAAGTCACCGGGTCCAGGATTCAACCATGGTCAGCCATGTAGGAGCCCAGCATTGTAACCACCACACCATCTGCCAGCCTCCTGGAGTTTAAATAAATAAACGACTTATGCTTCTTTTGCCAAGAAGACTCACCGCCCCCATGACCACACGTCAGAGTGCAGGGAAGAAGAGGGGCATTGGTGAGGGAGAGAGGAAGAGAGAGGCAGGGCTTAGGACACAGGCTGCCCCCATCTCTGACGCTGAGCCCCCTGGAGTCTCAGTGAACCGCTGCACTTAGGAGAACAGATCTCAAGGCCTTGATTCCAGCAGACACGCCATCACCCCAGTACGGCCAAATCACCCCAAATAAGACAGTAAACTGACTAGTGATCCAGGAGAAGGAATAATAAAAGCAAAATTTTAATGCCGGGAGAATCATGGGATGACTAGTAGAAACGGAAGTGCCATCATCTCCCTGCCTTCTGCTCGGCACCTTCAATGTCAGTCAGTCTGGTCCGGGTGCCAGTTCATCAGCAAGCATGCCCTGAGGGATATTGCGGGTCAGGTTCTGGAGGGCTAGAGATGCAGTGCTGATGAAGAGACCATCCCTGGCCTTTGAGAGGTCTCTACCAAGCAGGAAAGCCAGACTAGGCAGAGAAAGGAGGTGAGAGAGTGTGGAGGGAAGGAGATGCCGAGCTGGAGTGGTCAGGGAGGGCATCACGGAGGGAGGGGCCCTTAAAGGACAGAAGCTGGCTAGAAGCCATAGCCTGGAGTGGACATGAGCTAGAGGCAACAATGCAGAACACAGAAACATTTTCCATCTCGTCAGCCACATCTAGGTCTCTTTGAACCATCAGACCTTGATTTCATTGCTATCAGTTGGGTTGTCGGAAAAGTCATGATGCATTTTTGCATAGAAAAACATGGAGAAAATACGTCATGATTTTTCCAACTCAATACATACCTATTCCACTGCTTGCCCCAGCCACCAATTCTCCTCATGAGCATGTTAGGGCCGTCTATTCTAACACACTGGAGAAGGTGAGCACTCGCATATCACATTCACTCATAAATGTCTCACATACATTTCCTATGTGCTAGGACTATTCCAGGCACTGTGGGAGGCTTAAGAAACACGGCAGTGAAAAGCACATCCTGCCCTCACTTGTACTGACGAGGAGCTTCTTAGAGTTAAGTTCTCTGTTCCCATTCCTTTCCCTTGCAGGTCTAATTGTGTTATCCCTGCACCAACACCTGGAACCCACAACTGTCTTCTTAAAGAGAGGACACTAACACAATTGAGACTTTTCTCAATATGTCAGGGTCATTTATCTAGTCTGCAGTTTTTTACTGGGTGACAGCTGTATGCCAGGTTCTATTCTGGACACTAAGGATGCTACAGTGGAGCTCAAGACAGGCATGTCCATTGTCTTACCACCTAGTGAGAAGAACACGCTAAAAAATAATGACGCCCATAATTAATCACAGTTAGGGCACAAGCATCAAGCAGTAGAACACTTTGAAATTACATAAGAGAAGATTTGAAGGAGAGGAGCTGGGAAGAAAGACTTTTTTGAGGAAGTGATGTTTAGCTGAGAAGTGAGGTTTAAGCTGAAACCAAAGAGAGTAGGAAGAAGCCAGATGGTAAAGAAAAAAAAAAAAACAGAGCATCAAGCAGGGGAAATTACATGCCTAAGGGTGGGAGGTAAGAAGTTATATGACTGATATAAACCAGCATGGCTGGAGCAGGGGCCCCACAAACAATGGTATCAAGTCCCTCAAGGTTTCTGTAGGCATCAGGCACTAGGTAGAAACACTACTACCTGCTCCTGGAAGACATGGAAAGATCTGCCCTATGAAACCCAAGAGAGACATAATCTACTCACGGGGTGTTCTCTAGTGTGGGTGCCGGATGATGGAATTCACCTGTATTAAGAGTTCCATATTATGGGGACCAACAGGTGGCATGGTGGTTGAGGCGGTGAACTCCCACATAGCTGACTTTGGTTCAGGTTCTGGACCTGGCGGCTTGCTTTCTCACTCTCTCTCCCTCTCTGACTGTAGTTATATTAAAAACAGTAAATTTAAAATTAAAATAATTCTTTAAAAAAAAAAAGAGTACCATATTATGAGCCCAGCCTGCATACTTGGTAGCAAAAGTGAACCACAATGATAAAAGCCATGTGGCCAACAGTGGTTCAAATCCCTGGGTTGGCTTGAAAACACACTGGGCACGTATAAATGTAGCCAAGATCTTAACTAACTGGAGTGCTGTGGAAGGGACTCATGGTGTGATGAGGCCTGTCCTTCTGTCTCTCTCATGTACTCTCTCATATTCTTATCTCATGAAAAAATAGACTTATGAAAGAGAACAAATAGCACCATATTCTATCATGTTTCTGCTATTCAAAACTGCTATAGAACTATTAGATGATAGGCTTGGAAAACTCCCAAAGAAACCTTCTAGAGCAGGAGTTATAATCCTGGCTACACAACAGTATGTTGAGATACTTGGAAATGCCTATGCTTATTCCCTACCCCAGATCAAGTAAATTAGACTATCTGGGCATGCTACCATGGCATGAGTGTTTTGTAAGGCTCCAGGATAATTCTAATAAGCAGCCAGAGTTTGAGACTCACTACCCTAATGCAGCCCTCCTTTAACACACATAAAATAACTGAGGCCCTTCTATACCATGTGTCCATATTCACACTACACACAAATAGAGTGAAGACGAAGCAGCAGACTCTCTCCCAGAGCTGATCCCCTATGGCAAAACCAAAACAAACAAACAAACAAGCAAACAAAAAACTTCATGGATAACC